AAAATCAAATACAAGAGGCTTACAGGACCCCAAATATACAAAATTACAGCAGACCCACACTCAGACACATTATAATGAGAATGACTAACAGAGAATAAAGGTAAAATCTTAAAGGTGTGAGAGAAAAATAAATAAATTACATATAGGGAGAAACCAATTTAGATTTCAACTGATTTCTCAGCCCAGACCCTCAAAGCTGGGAGGTCCTGGAATAATATATTTCAAGCTCTGAAAGAAAACAGATGCCAACCAAGAATTTTATATCCAACAAAATTAAGTTTTATATTTGAAGATAAAATTAAAACCTTTTATGATAAACAAAAATTAAAATAATTCACAACTAGGAAGCCTAAACTACAGAGAATTCTCTACAAAATACTCCATGAGGATGGGGTGAAAAAAAAAGTGAAAACCAGCAAAGGGAGGATCCACATTAAGGGGAAATCCAACCAAATGGGACATTAGGACAAACCAAAAACCAGAAGTAGATCAAGATGACAGGGAATACAAATCATACGCAGTGGTTTTAAAAAACAAAGCTTTAAGAGTTTAGGTGACTTTTTGGTCATTGACGATGGTTTAGAAGGCCCAGGGTTTTGAGTTTTTCACCTTCTGACTGTGGCAGTGGAAATTCTGTCCCTGTCAAGATAGGACTGTAAGCCCGTGAGAGTGAGGAGCCTCGTGTGAAATGACATCCAGCTGGGTGCCGACAGGTGTCAGGCTGGGTCTTGTTACTACATGAAATGAGGAGGGAGCCCCTGTTCTGAGGTCAAAAAGCTACCAAGAGGGAGCCCAGAAATGGATCCACCCAGAGCCTGCAGAGAAAACCTCTGTGGGTGCTTGAGGGCTGAGCCCGAGGCAAGCCCTAGGAAGACCTCAAAGAAAACATCTGAACTTCAGTGACTCCAGCAGGTGCTCCCGTGCTCCAGGTGCCTATAAACCAATGTTCTTAACAGCTTTGCTCATAATAGTAAAAAGATGGCAATAACCCAATGTCCAATGAGGACACCAACAAAATGTGGTATATCCATACAGTGGAATATTATTCAGCCATAAAAGGAAAGAAGTTCTGATATATGCCCCAACATGGATGAACCTTACAAACATTGGCTAAGCAAAAGAAGCCAGACACAAAGAGCTATACACTGTATGATCACATTTATTTTAAAAAATCTAAAATGGACAAGACCATTTATATATATGCGCCGTGGGACAGTGTCTCTTTCCATAGTTAAAACAAGCCATCTTCGTTAGTTCTACAGATGACACTTGCCCTGCCCAGGCAGTGGGGGTCTATGATTCTGTGTCCACCCTACACTCCACCCAGGTGGGAGCGTGTCCTGCTGCCAGCTCTTACCATCCACCAGTATCCACTACCCCTCTCTGCCTCTTGAAATCCTAGGCCCCTCCAATGCACTCAGGCCAGGACTGCTTTCCATCCACAAGAAGTCTCCTGTGTACACTTAGACTTTCTGCCTGCCCTCCTGCTGCAGCCCCCAGCCTGCCCCCTATAGGAGGACGGGACATGCGCACAGGCATGGCTGTCAACAGCGACCGTGCATACACCAGTGGCCTAAAATTCTCATGGAGCTCAGGGGTGCTCAATGACCTCATAGCCCCCAGAAATCCAGAAAGCAAGCCGCCAGTCACACGCTGTGGTATGCAGCCTCGAACAAGCCTACCGTGCCACCAGTCCTGAGCGTGGTACATATCATTACACATGTGAATGTTTGGTCATGATGATAAACAACTGTGTTCCTGGGTTATGCATCCACTACACTATGCTTTTTACTGATCTTTTAGAATATAGTTCTTCAATTCATTAAAACAAAACTTACCATAATCTGTGCCACAGGACACCAGCAGCAGCTTCATGCATCTCTCGTTTACTGTAGCACTTGGTGGCATCAGGAGGCCACACCTGGTGACAGACTTATACCATCTAGGTTTGTGTTAAGTGTATCCCGTGAATTTGCACACATAAAATAAAATGCTTATTGAGAATTTTTTATGCCTCAACCATAGTAGCCACTCAATAAATAGTGTTCAAATGAAGAATAGAAGGAAGGAGAAATCCTGCATCTTCCCACCATGGAGGGTATCCATGTTAGTTTTGTGGTTTCTATCCTCTAGTCTTTTTCTGGGACAATTTCGAGTGTTCTGCTGTCTTACAGCTGCTGGGTTTGCTTGGCAACATTTTCCAGGTCACTAGCTATGGCAAGGTCCTCCCTGGGTCAGCTGGGTCAGGTCTAGCTGCATCTTGAATGCTGGTCCCAGGCATCCCAGCCTCGGGGATGAGGACAGAGAATCCCGGGTTAGGCTCCTCTCTACAGAACTGGCTCTATACTGCATTAACACCTTGCTACCCCTCCCCAAAAATATGAAGCTGACAGAAGAAAATCCACAATCCCAGCCCAGGGGAGCAGAAGTCAGGCTCTGAATACAGGACCTCAAAGGTGGGTGTAACCTCTCACCTGTCATGCTCTACCTGTTGGGTGACCTAGCTTTCTTTTTTTAAGCTCCACAAGTTCCTTTAAGCTCTTGGCAATGGGAGGAGTTGATGGCAGCTTGATTGGACTTCTGACAACCACGAGGAAAGAAAAAGAAGAAGCCCTACTCTTGAGTCCCTTATCTCTGGGGCTGAGCCCCATAGATAAACACTGGTGTCCTTCCTCACCATGTGACATGGGTTACACACTCAGCTTCAACTGAATGCAGCAGTGGAGGGAGAACAGTTCTTCCTAGGAGCCCTGAATCTGCTCTGGGTCCTGAAGGAGACCCAGGACCACAGTGTGCCAAGCAGGCTGCTGGCCGCGTCTTCCATGTTCTGCTGTTACTAGGCATGCAGCTCAATGTGTACCATGCGTGCAACTCCTCCGGGATTCAGAAGTAGCTTATTTTTATATGCATAGATAAAATGCCAAAAGGAAACAACATAGGTAAACTGGCCCAGACTGCTCCTGAGTGTATTAAGGGTTAGGATTTCCTGAGGTTTGGGAATGGGAGATAGTGATTCCTTATGGGGGCCAATGTCTGGGTGATGGCCATTTACCAGCTGTGGGAAATTTCTTACTTCATTGCTCAGGTTCCTTAACTACATCATAAAGATGATGCACAGGTGTCTACGCCAGTCCAGACGGGATGTGTCCAAGTGCACACTGCCATGCCCTGAGCACTGAATATGGTGCCCAGTGCCCCTGAGCAACCCCTGAATGTAACTAGTCACTGTCATTAAGAGGAGCTTCTTGTCGTGTATGACATCACATTATGGGTCTTACCACACTCTGTGATTTGACCTTCAGGTGTCTTATAGATAAAAACACAGATGACACTCAGTAAACCAGAGAGAATCGTTCTGCAGACATGTTGTTACCGACACTCATTGTTAAGAAATGAGGTCAGAGAGGGAGAGACTAGTTCCTGTCACGTGTAGTCCTCTTGCCTAAAACGGGAAGCGTTGAAGGGTCATTGAGATCCATCCAATGTTGCTTGTAAACAGACCCAGTTTCGTAGTTGGCTTAGGAAGATGCAGATTCCAAGACCAAACGAAGCTGAAGAACCACCAGTGCTGACTTCACCAGCCTCATCCTTGTCGACGCAGCTGCCCAGAAGGGCTCACCCAAAGCTGCACCAACCTCAGAGTTTGGCAGAAGTCAGTGCCAACCCATCCTCCTCCCTGCTCCACAGGCCGGCACCCACCTGAGGCTTTGCCCTGCCAGGCTGCCCTCGGTCACTGAGCCTGAGACCTTCCTGAGCTCAACGGCTGGGCCAGCTGGATTCAGGGCCACTGTGACTTGGTGTCTTTGTGTTAGTAGGACTGTTATGGTTTGGATGTGAGATGTCCCCCAAAAGCTCACGTGTGAGACAAGGCAAGAAGGCTCAGAGGAGAAATGATAGGGTTATGGGAGTCTTCATCCAATCAGTGAATTAATCCCGTTGGGGTTTAACTGAGTGGTAATTGAAGGCAGGTGTGTGGCTGGAGGAGGTGGGTCCCTAGGGACGCACCTCTGAGATATATATTTTGTATCTGGCAAATGGAGTGTCTCTCTGCCTCCCTGTGCCATGTTCCCAGTGCTCTCCTCCACATCCTTCTACCATGATATTCAGCCTCACCTGGAGCCCTGAGGAATGGAACCAGCTGGACTGAGACCTCAGAAACCATGAGCCCCAAATTAACTTTGCCTCCTCTAATTGCTCTTGTCAGTTCTTTTGGCAGCAGCAAAGGAAAAGCCACCTAAAACAAGATCCAGACTCCCTGCAAGCCTAGGACAGGATCCTCACAGACCTGACGCTGTCAGAGCTGCCATGGGACCCTGAGGGCTGTGGTCCATGCTCATCCCACCCTTACCATCCTGCTTTTTGGACCAAACACACAAAGAAGCAAATTAAAAATAATTCTCCTTATCCTAGTTAGAATAAGATATATTCCATGTCTGAGTAAATATATCAGATTCTACTGTCTTCTGTAACTAAAAAGAACACATTTTAAAATCATAAAAAAAATTTCTCCCTCTTAAATACTGATTCTGACCTTGGGCTGGGGGGTGTAGCCTAGTGGTAGAGCAAGTACTTCCACCCACGAGGCCTGGACTCAATCCAGAGCACTAGAAAAAACAAATGCTGACAGCTACCTTTACTAAAGCCCACCAAGAATAAGCCTGACAACTGTTAGCATTAAGAATTATTTAGTGAAATTTTAGAATCCCTAACAAAGACTGGGTCTCCCTCTCTCCTCCAAAACTTACTTCTTTGCCATCAACAAAAATAAAAAACAAAAACAAAACAATGCCTGCTTTCATGAATTCAGGAGTCTTGTTCATAAAGATATCCCCAAAAAGATGCTCCCATTCTCCTATAACCCCGAGGTAATGCTTTCTTTTAGCACGGATGCTCTTCTCCCTCCTTCCTTCTTTCCTCCCTCCCTTCCATCCTTCCTTCCTTCCTTCCTTGCTTCTTCCTTTCCTTTAGCTCTAACCTAAATATCTCTCATTATTACTTAGGTCCGAGAGACTAAACCATGTCAAGCGTGTTGTGAGACCCCTGCCCAGTGTATGCACACCAAGCCTCAACTCGATGCTTCAGAATTTCTACACTAATTGTTCACTGTTGACTGCTCTTTTTGGCACACCGTGTAGATTCTTGTTTGGACACTATGAGATGTACTGGAAATGTCTCCTTAAATTAGAAGATAACCCACAACTTGGATGACTCACAGTTGAAATTGTTATTAAGTGTGCCCTATTACAGATGAGACGAAATGTCTTGTTTAATATTTATTGTACAGCAATAATATATGTGCTTGAAAATATCTCAATTAGGACTTGGCAAAAAATACTTATAATAGAACCATATCCAACCATGTAATAATTATACCTAGATGAATCCCAGCTCTGTTTTATTTCAATATTTGGCAGTATATACATACGTATTAACTCTTGTGGTTTTCCAAAAATCTCTAAACAATAAGCAAATTATCAAGTTGTCCTGTGTTTTCAGTTATATTCTTTATCTAGTGGATAATTGGGTTCCTTGGCTCACCAGACTTATTTCACTAAACCAAATGCCTAACAGTGGTTGAACTGTACTTAAACTTTACCTCTTGGGGCTGATTGTAAATATAGAATTTCATCATTCTCTTACTATGACAAGCCCCATTGAGGGCTGAACAATCTGTTCAATAGAAAATTTTCAATTATGCATGATCACAGTTTTTCATTATGAAGGCTCAGCTGAGACCCACAGGCATCTCTATAGAGCTTCGAGAAAGAGCTGTTCTCTCCAGGTGCCAGCGTCCAAGCACAGGGCTGGGGAGTGCACAGAACAAATGTCAGGGCTCACGAGCCCCCTTAGTGGGCATCCCCAGCAGCCAACCCAGCTGCCCATGAACAGAAGGCAAGATGCAACGATTCAGGAAGTTACTGACCTTTAGTATGCTCGAACCAGCCTGCATGCCCCGATATGGTATTCTGACATGATCATCCCATGAATTTAGAGAGGAGAGGGTAGGATGGAGTCAGGAGGGTGTGTGGAAGAGTGACACGGAGTTAAATGCCCTCCCTCTGGGAGGAAATCACTTGGGGTGGCACCTCCGCTTATGGCTATGTCAGTCTCACAAGACTTGCTTTTGACTACTTTCTTTAAAATAATTTTCATGCAGATAAAAATCATTAAATCCTTTTAGGATATGGTGTGAAAGTAACTATCAGAAATTTAAATGTATAAATCTTTGACCCAGCAGTTCCATTTTAGAACTCTGTCCTAAGGATACCCTCACACACACTCACGAAGAATGCAGGAGTGCAACACGCTTCCAACCACAGAAGGATCGGAAGCCATGCAAAAAACGTCCCCAGATAGGGTGGATGTAGTTATGCCTGTATTACGTGATACCTCGAAGCTGCTTGTTAAAAATAGTAAGATGATCCTACATATACGATGGTGTGAGGGGGAAGGGAAGGGAAAAAAAAAGAGATAAGTGTCACAGCAGTATGGGTAGACAATAGGGATGGGAGGCGAGGGGAGGGGAGGGGGGGATAGGGAGGGCAGCAGAATACAACTGACACTAGGATTGCTGTATGTATACACATGGATGTATAACCAATGTGGTCCTGCAATCTGTACACGTGGAAAAATGACAATTTATACCCTATTTGAATCAAATGTATGATATGTCAAGATCATTGTATTGTCTTGAACAACTAATAATAAATAAATAAATAAATAAAAGACAATATATCAATAAAGCAAAAAGAGCAAGCTGCAGAATAGCAGAAATCCCAGTGATGCAAGAAAAACGTGCGTGTGCAACCTGTGCGGGCATGCAACCTGCGCAAGTGTACCTGTGCAGACAGCACAGGATGCCTGGGTGGCATCAGGAAGACATATTCCTGAGGCATCGCTTCCCAGAGGGGACAGTTTGGTAGGAATAGAGAGGGAGGGTAGAAAATAGAGCCAAGGGATGACTGGGGGCTTTTACTTTCTGCTCTAGGTGACTCTACAATGTCTACTTAAAAAAAAAAAAAAAAAAAAGCAAGCCAGGCACAGTGACTCACACCTGTAAACCAGCAGCCTGGGAGGCCGGGGCAGGAAGATCACAAGTTCAAAGCCAGCCTCAGCAACTTAGCAAGGCCCTAAGCAACTCAGCGAGACCCTGTCTATAAATTTAAAAATTTTAAAAGGCTGGGGATGTGGCTCAGTAATTAAGTGTCCCTGGGTTCAATCCCTGGGGGAAAAAAAATCCAACAATAAGCATACATGACTTTCGTATGTTGAGAACAATTAAAAAGAATTTTCAAGGACTAAAAATAAAAATTAATCATCATTTGTAATTGAATCACCCAAACAAAAGTATTTTCATTTTTATGTATTACCTTCCAGGCTTTTAATAAGGGTCTAAATATAGAGAAAACATACAAAATTATATAACAAGAATGTTGCTATATGGTTTATAGTGTAATGTGGACTCATAACCATAGTATATGAGTTGCCATTTTGCTGCTAATAATTGTCAAATGGTGTTGATGTAAATACATTCCATTTTTGCTCCAAAATGTAATCAACTATTTTATAATAATGTGGCTGCTTTGGACTTTATACAGTTTTCACAAATAGCGTAGAAAAAATTACTGCATGACATATCATATCATTGGATGTTGTCTCTTTAAGTAAAAGTTTAAATAGGAATATTGTCAAATAAGAATCTAAACATTTTGTGGCTTTTAAAACCCAGTGCAGATTTTCTTTCCGAAAGGATAGCTCTGATCTTATTGCCACAAGAAGTGAGTCAGTTCTACTCCATCCTGATTAGCACTGAGTACTGATTTCTTCAACTATTTGGGCAGAAATAGAACAATATGTATAAATTATAAATGTGAATATATTTCCCTCATGTTAACTTGTTAATTGCAGTGAGTTGTTCAGGTGCTTTTCCATTTATTTAATCTCACGATTTTTAAACAATAATGACATTAGTGTGTGATCCCACCGTTCACCCTCAGCGTACCAAGTGCTGAGCATCACTCGTGTGTGACATTCATATCACACTAACCTCGGAAAATTCCAGTAAGTATTCTGACCATCACCACCTTACAGATGAAGAAACCGCGGCCCAGACACGTTCACAGCATGGAATCCATGAGCTTGTAGGCTCAGCACACTCGGTGGCCTCTTGAGACTGCTGAATGATCAAGGCGTCGTCCCTTCAGCTGTAATATTTGTCAAAAGTTCATCTGTTCTTCTGCTGTTGTTGCAGCTCTGGGGACTGAACACAGGGCCTTGCACTTGCTAGGTAAGCACTCTGGTGCTGACACCCCCACCACCCTGCCCAGAACTTGTGACCCTCCTGCCTCGGCCTCCCAGGTCACTGGAATCACAGGCCCAAGCCACAGCACATTGCTCTGTTAACCTGTCCTCATTAAAAGCATTTTCCCAGTGTGTTGTATTTCTTGTGATCTTGTGTTATTATGTGCAGAACATGTTCTTATAATCAATTCACTTCTATTTTCATAATTTCTGCTATCATTTCTAAGTCTATAAAGTTTGCTCCAGAGATTTGAGAAACTGTTATGTTATTCTTCCCTTTATGAACATGTGGATATATGGGTATATGTGTGTGAATACATGTATGTATTTGTGCGTGTGCGTGTACAGAGACACGTGTGTATACACAAACTCTTTAATCCCGGGGACATTATCTTGGTGCTCCATACACTGCATCTGGGCAGCTTTTCTGGCCTGGACACTATGACTAGACTGATAATTACTCTGCCCAGGTCCAAACGAGATACTGAGCAGCCAGGAATTAAACCTTCAACTTACCTTTGCTCCAAGTGATATGATTAAGCCAAGATTACTTAACCCCAGTCCCAGTGAGTCATTCCCAACCCCTGAATCATTCCAGCAGAGCTGACAAGCTTTCCGCTGAGTTACTGCCCTGGAGGATTCTTTGCATGACTGGCTGATCGCTGGGTGTCTCCAAGCCTATGATTTACAGCCCTTCTCACCTGGGCCCACGTCTGACCCACTGGGCACACCCATTTCATTTCCACAGAGGAGCTCTCTCTGGCATTACACTGGCCAGTCCCAATTGGTCTAGGTTGAAGTCAAAGGAAGAGCGTATAATGCTACCATCTGTGATAGGGAATCCTGTGACTTCTGTGAAGAGAGAAAAGGGTCGATATCACTAAGATGAGGAAATAGACACGAATACGGAGATACGTCGAGTGGTCAGGTGGGGAGTGAGCAGAGGCTAACACTACCCTCTCATAACCTCCGGACTCTGTTTTGTGTGCCAGTGTCCCTATTCACCACACACTTTTTTTTTTAACATCTTCATTTTATTTTTATGTGGTGCTGAGGATTGAACCCAGCCAGGGCCTCGCACGTGCTAGGCAAGCGCTCTATTGCTGAGCCACAACCCCAGCCCTCGCCAAACGTTTTTATCAAAAAAAATCATGAAAGTGAAGTTCAGGAATTTCAGTGATGATGCAGTAATACTTTCTAATCAGCTTATAGAAATAATACAGGTTGATCACATAGGGGCTGTCAGTTCCAAGGTGATTGGGTGACATTTTGCATTTTACAAAGTTCAAACTTTTGGTCACGCGCAGTCCCCTGCAGTGTACCCTCCCAGGCAGCCAGTATTCTGCTAGAGAACCATGTTTTCCAGGATGCTGTGGACTCCGGTCTCCTGCTAGGTGTGGTCAAGGGGAGGCAGGGCACTGGAGTGAGGGGTGGGAAGAGGAAAGGAGGGTGTGATTCTGTCTGTGCCCCTTGTTTTTCCCAGCACCTGTTAGGTCCCCCCTGTGGTCTCCTCGCTCCCACTGGGAAGTCTGTGCTAGGGCTTCGTTCCCACTGGATGGCCATGTTTCTGAGCCACATGCCCCTTGTTGGTCCTCCTGTCGACTTTGGCAGATACTCCTGTTGGTGCCAGTCTCTGGAATTCCTCTCTAGCCTCTGTTTGGCTTCTCAGCTCCTCCATTTCATAGGTAAGCAAGTCTCCATGCCAATCACCTCCATCGGAAAATCCTGGACCGTGTTCTGTTTTTCTGACCTGAGAGTCAGATGGATACACCCCACACTCTGGGTCCTGATTTGGAACACCTTAGCCCGGGATTAGACTCTCAGAGCTCCTCCATATAACACTGTCTTAGATCCAGACCATGGAGCGGTGGACACACAGCTGTAGGATCGCATCTTGCATCCGGCCCTGTATTCCAGGAGCACTATTTTCGGCATCTCCCAGTGCTATAGACGGTTTTTTAAAGGACACTGTGTTTTGCAAGGGCTTGGCCTCACAGCATTGCAACACCTTCAGAACAGAACGCATGGAGCATTACGTGGAAATCCCTCTGGCCGACTCCTGGAGATGCTGGCCTGGGCCCACGTGAGGCCACAGGTGAGCTGTTGGAGGAGGTTCACCCCCTGAATCCCTCTCCGACAAGAACTGTGGTGAAGGGTCTGCACCTTACGGGGGAATGTGGG